ATAAGATTGACGGAAACTCGGGGACTACGCCTACCTGATGAGCTTCAAGAAGGGAGAAACCGGTCGTGGCCTGTCGAGGAATTTTCAACAACCTTATAAGTAGTGCATTACAAACGTTCTCTCTTTTGGCTTCAAACCGCAGATGTAGACTAAACCACCAATTCTGGAGGCAATGTGTGCATAAACGAACAAGCACAAGGGAGAATTAACCGACATCCGCATGTCAATTCATATTAGGTTTTCACTCTATTCCTACCAGATGATTTCGGGTAGATAACTCCGATTTGGAGGTGTCGGTTGACTGGCATGCAACAGTCAGATACATCGCGGGCGACAGGAGTTTTTATGATGTCGTCCGGGAGCTGGTCTCGGGGCTTCCAGCTGATAGGTTTGTCAACCAGAATGTAAAGGGACTGTTGACCGAATGAGGACTGGTCGCCATTAGCCATATTTGCGAAATCATATCAGGGCGGAGATCAAGACATTGTTGTCAATGATTTATCTAAGGTAAATTTTTATTCACTGCTATTGGGTGGGGCCCTCAGAGCAAAAGCGATAATTCTATACGGTTATCACTTTCGGCAGAAGGATTCGAATGAATACATTTTGTGTTCTTTGATAACTAATTTATTATTGCTAAAATTATTAATCATTAATTATTATTATTGATCAAATTATTATTGGAACCTATCAGATTAATTGAAAATTATTATTTAAATTATTACTGAAATTAGTACAACCATCGCAATATGCTCCAAGGTTTACAAAATCGGTTGGGGCTGTTAAAGTGTTTTCAGCAACTTTATGAGTAGTATGTTACGTCAAGAAGACCTACTTCGTTATCTCAACTATCGAATGGATAAGTAAAACCTGTAGCATACTCTGTCGAAGTAGAATGCTGCAAAAGAGAATTTCGGCTGGGCTCACTGATAACATCAAAGCAACCTTTAACCGAGTATATTCTTCACCAGTTTAGCACCCTAAATGAAGTTTTATTTTAAGAGTGCAGATCATAGAACCACTTGGATTATAGCGACCGGGATATAGAGTTGAAATTGCCACCAAATCTGCGTTCCATTTTTGGCATAAACAGAATACTTCTCTAAACATATTCCCTCCGAATATGTTGGGAGATGTTGAACGTGCTTCCAGAAGCAGCTTGGCGCCGTTTGCTCCGTCTCTTGGGTGGTACTCTCCAAATGTTGCATTTTTTCTGTAATTGAGACAGCCCTCCCATGCACGCTTATCAAGACTTAGGAATACGACGTCTATGATGGCGAACTGCATACATGACTGTTGGGAGTGCACGAAAAAAGTTTATATATATATATTATAATAAATCCAACTTCCCCTACCACTCCTCTGACAGACAGACATGTTAATCTGTTTTGCTTGCAAACTGCAAACTTGTAGAATAATCCGAGTGACTTTTAAACAACCTGCGCGACATGGCGACATTTCGAGACGTGAATGTTTCAGGAGTTCAGTGTCGGTCATCTGACTGGGAATAGCTCACTGGACTATCCACTGAATAAAAAAAGCTTTGAGGCTGAAACTCTATTTTAGCTACATTTTTGACAGAATTTTTAGGGACACTTACAATATACAGTCATTTTGAGTCGTTCTCGGGTATCTCAATGGAAGACTGGCGTCTAAAAGAAAATGGGACTATTTAACGGTTAATGTGTATAAAAAACACAGGAAAGGATTGCCAGCGTAAAAAGCGTTCAAAAGCAGTGAAAGGTCGAACGGGTTGATCATTAGAAGTGTGCACTATTTTCTGTTGGGATCTTTCGCACCTGCCGCGAAGGTGGGCTGCGAAAAACAGACCAAAGACTAAGTTTTGAATCGACCATGTACACACTGTGCATTGTTCCAATCCTCGTTTATGAATCTCTCTTGTTTGTGCCACTTTCCGAATATGAGTGTATATGTTTCATCCGTAGTCGACTAGCTGCTTATCGTGACTGCTCTGCCTGACTCTGGTCTGTCGACAGGGCCTCTCACAATCGGTTCAAGTGTTCAAGTGGCGGACCGCATTCCGCTCCCGGCGTGTCGTTCGCGGCACGTCGACACTCACCATCACAAGAGTGTGTGGGACGTATGTCACTCGAGTATCCTCTCTCTGATCCAGCAGATGCCACCTACCCATACCAGGATTATCCAATTTTCAGTTTCACTGTAGCATTTGCTACTTACATCTTGCTTTTAGTACTGCAAATCGACTGGTTATGTTCTTCTCAGGGAGGGCTACACTAGCGATATCATGGACCAAACTTATCCACCGAAGACATGCCGCCGCCTCGACCCAACAACAGTACACTCTCATTTCTAACACCGCGTAGAACAAATGCGTCAAAATGATGCATTATAAACAACGTATGATAGTCATTAGGTTGCTGAAAATTTATCGACAGCCCACGACCAGTTTCGCCCTTTTTGGAGCTCATCAGTCCTGATGAAGTACATTCAGTTGTTAAAGAACGCCACAAACGAGGGATTCAGCTGGGTCCCAGGTGAGTCTCTCGTGAAAACCAAATTGATGTGCAAATGAGTGCATTCGTCGAAATTTCTCATAGTCTGTATCTATATGTATTCACCAAGTTCGAACATCGTCATAAAATGTCTGTCAATTTAATAAAAATCCATGGTTACTAGTTCAAGGAACTAAGCATTCAACAGTTTATTTCAGTAACATGGACATAGTGTATTTGTAGCGCTACCCCATAAAAGTCACTCCCATCGGAGTAAAGTTATTTTATTCATTTTTGAGCTACTCATCAAAAGTATGAGTAGTATAAGATATCAATCTTCTCCCCGAAATTTCTCAGGAAAAGTAGTAATACACTAGAAGATCGCTTGAAAGGTTTTATTCAACCAAAACTGCCACTCAGGTCCTTTGTAAGAGTGTCACTTTCAGTTGTCACCGCCGAACTGATAAGACAATATTCAGGATAGAATCAACCTGGTAATTTGTTAAAATATTAGTAGCTCAGGGTGAGTTTATTTGTTGTTGATCAGGTGGCTGTTGATCTGTTCGCCGAGCTTGGCAATTGGCTTGCAAACGTTGCCACCTGATCAACAACCAATAAGAATCAAGCTGTTTTTCCGGAAACACATCGTCTGCAGACATTTATTTATAATGGGGTATTCGATTGAATCCAGCTGAATCTGGTTTATAATTTGCTTCACAAAGGCCGCCCCATGTTTCAGTTGGTACTGTAATCTGTATATTTCAGTACATCTTACTGAGGAATACTACTCATACGTTTGATGGAAACTGACAGCCCACAACAAGTTTGGCCGTTCTTCGAGCTCATCGGTTAGACGCAGCCTGCGAGGTTCCGTCAATCAAACGTATATTCTGATGGAACCCAGATTGTGAAAAATTCATAAACTACACCAAGTTGCACGCTAATTCAGTTTTACGAGAGGTTAAACTAGATGCCAGCTGGATCCCTTGTTTACGATTTTACTTCCTTTCCCCCAGTCAAACCCTTCCCTCGTCTGAGCCTGCTGTTTGCTGAGTCTACCTCATTGACTCGAATATTCATTTGTAATCCCTCGTGAAATTTTAACCCTTGACATGTCGGACCAATTTGGTCGACTATCTTTTACGCGCACCTTTTGACAATTTTGCGTTACCGCGTGTTGTGCCCAGGCAAACTAAGAACGATTCGCCGTCTTCTTCGGGCTTTCCTTGAACTTGCACTACTTCGTGCAGCAGTTTAAACGGAAACCCCCATAATTTGAGGTTGGCATTTTATACATGCCATACCGCATCTTTTGATAAATCTCAAGAGTCCGCAATTTCTGGCTTGTGGTTTTGCAAGTCACTCAAGTGGACTTTCCCGAACACGTTTACAACGATACTCTTCAACTAGTTGTGGTTTATCGAAGTGCTTTTAGAAACCTTGTGAACACTGTCCCCCAAGGAAACGAGATTCTTTTGAATTTGGTAGAGGACGTTTCGGTGAAAAGTTTATTTTTGACATTTGTCTAGTTTAGCCGGAAATTCATCAGGCCAATCAGCTTTGGGCTGTATGGTTTACATCTAACCCTAAGCCCTTTCGTTTGGGAATTTCTCCACTGTTATCCGTATCATCTCCCTGCTGGGAGATCCTCATCATCGGGGGAAGCCAGACTCAGAGGAACTTCACTTTGGCTTCAGCTTCTTTGCATTGAGTATTGTTGTTCAACTTTCATCCAGTTGTATGAAAGGCAACCCAGGGCTAAACGAGAAAAACTGAAAAGGGCCAATTTGAAATCAGTTGAAATGTGAATACATAGAGCACGTGAAATTGGCCACCTAGTGAAACGAGCTTTCATACACACTAGCGCACTCAAAGCTCACCTCCAAATTCTACTGGTTTCCAACCCAATTCGCTTCGTGCACTCCCGTCGCAAGAGACCAGTTCTATTCTCCTGATGGAAACAAACCATTCTAACTGATACAAAATTTAATCAGTAATACCGAAAGGAGTTGAATCCTAATAATTATTTTGTGAATGCTTTCAATTTCTCTTCTAACCAAGAACGTATTTAATGAGGACGGAATAAGTAGACTCATCTCGGAAGAGATGACATTCGAACTGACAACTTTACTGTTTCTTAGCTAATTCCAGGAATCGCGGAAGAGAACTTGGAACAAGAAGGTGTGTGCTGATCTAGCCCCAGAGTGACTCTGCTTATTGGCCTTAATGTATTTTGAAGAAACTTGACTTTCAAAAGTGGAGCAGTATAAATATAGGCATTCCACAAGAGACAACCAACGTTACCTTAGGATAGAGGGTAGGTGTGAATGGCTGGGATACCGGATTTTATGAGTCAGACCTAAAGATTTCAGAGAGTCGAGGTAAGTTTCGAGAAAACTGAAAAACCATAACCAAAGCCACGCGACAACAAGAGCACGTTTACAATCCACGGCTGCCGATGATAAGGGTTTTCAGACCACTCTACCATTTTTTAAATATCTACAGTGATGAAACTGGTAACATAAAGTCTTTTCTAGTGATTTTCTCCCCGTTGACGTCAGCTCGATCAATACGTACCTGCCCCGGAATGTGCGCCGAGTTACAGTTGTCACTTCTTCGCGGGGAAGCAAACGTCATTAAAAGATGCACGTTGGATAGGACAGACAACTTAGATTTACTAGTATCCAAGACTAGTCTTGACTGCATGTGCAGTGGTTCCGCTGAGCCAGATAACCAGCATCAGGACGGAACGGAACGTACCACCCACCAGATAACCAGCATCAGGACGGAACGGAACTTACCAACGCAAACACAAGTTTGATCGAGAAGTTCAACAATCGTCGAATCGTGGACCCTCTTTTAATTTTAGGTAGATCTGTAGACATAACATGGTTTGACAGTTCTTAAGCCTTGTCAGTAGTCTGTTTACCAGATCTCTCTTGCGCAGTTTTTTTTCAGGGAAGCGATGTCCTAATCAACGGAGAATTTTCGATGCATTTCTGTGCGTTTCGACTAGTTGTGTTTGAGTATTGCATATGCATGTACCAGCCTGAGGCATATATACATATGACAAATCTCACGTATGCATACATTACAATCGGTTATTACCAAAGGATTTCACTGATAAGCCCAAAACCGATTCAGACGCCTCTTGTTGTGTATAAATAACCGTAAGCCACTGGCTGACAACAGGTACAAAACCCACTGTGGATGAGTGTCAGGTGAGTTGGACAAATAGTTAATAGTTCAGCAGTTGGTGGTTTTCAAAACCGACCCCCCCATCAAGTAGGGAACCCTCCATTCTTATACCCGTTACACTGTTTGTATCTCCATATTCTCATGCAGAAAGTGTGGTCCTGACCTGGGGAAATACACTCATTTGTATACCGATTTGGCTTTGTCAGGAGACTCATCTGAAACCAAGCTGAATCTCTCGTGTATGATGTTTCTAAGACATCGCCCCCAAGACGGGCGAAACCATTCGTGAGTTATGAGTAGTGTATTACGTCTACACATGTATCGCGATACCTCGAATGTCGTTCCCACTGAAACACGAGGCAGCCTGATGCAGCACACTCAGTTGCTTAAAACACCATAAATGGGAGATTTAGCTGGGTCCAAGGTGAGTTTCCCGTCAAAACCAATCTGACAAGCAAATGACTGTAGTTCTCCAATTTCGTGTAATTCGGGTTCAAGTAGAACATAATTTTGACGGAAACTGGTGGACTGTATGTTCCCGATGGTCCAAACTTGTTTTGTACATCTGAAGGTAGGTTTGCCGGATACTTGTAGTCCTGATTCGATTACCTACTCATGCCAGTTTGGTGTTTTCTGGGCTTTTGTCTAGTCTTATGTGCTACTGATTGAATTGGTCAAGACGTGTTCTGATCTGTTGAGCACTTAATAGCACGGGTAAAAATGTAAAGCAACTTCGTGCTATTTGTGTTTGGATGACGCCTTTTAAAGAAAAGAAAACCAAGACTTCTTCCGACACTCACGGGGGTATTAGCCTTCTGAGCTCATCCTTGGAACGACTTTTACCCAACCACAAGGTTGCTGAAATTATCGAAGTTCATACCCGGAAGAACAACACTAATAAGGGCACGACTTTTCACTGACTTCCTGGGTGCTTTGGACACCGTTCTACAGGCAGTTCTTGCCAAGTTTGTGTTTCCGCAAAAATGTATGAGTCTCATTCAACGGAATTAGATCGACTTCTGACAGTCTTCATCACGCCCACACGTCTGAATCACGTCCGATTTCATCACGTGCCGGAGAAAGGGACACATAAATTTCACGCCCACCCCATGGCCAAGGCACTTCGTACACAAGCGCACAGATGGCCATCTATGGTTAACCAAGACAAAGGAACAACAGTCCGGTCTGGACGCGCAGGAGACACACTGGTTGGTTGACAGCGGATCGACCATCACATACGGTCACAAGTGAATCATATAAATAGAAAGTCGTAATTGCATTATTACTCAGTTTTACTGGCCGCCTTCTTGTCTTCTGACTATAACCCGGTATCGTCGGGGAAGGTGAAGAGGTACGACACTTGAATATTATATCTGACGGCTATCATGGAAGCGTCAGATGCCATCGTTTTGCTAACTGACCAGTACTATTCCTTTCAAGCTACTCCGCGGAAGAAAGTAGTCCCATACTTTGACACGCCTTTTGTACTTTTAAAGTACAAATTCTTGCATCACGGTTCCAACACTTCCCACCATCTAAGGGTGAAATACTTTTCAATAAATCTTTATCTAGCTCTTGCATAACAACGAAAAGATTTGGGGAGAAACTAACTAACGTAACATGACCTTGAGACTATGTTGCAGCCCACCTAACATGGGTTACAACCGTACGATGCACAAGTGAACTTTCTTCTGTTTCGTCGGAACTCGAGAGTGGTGATCTACCAAGCATGTGTCTGTTTGTGTAAGTCAGGATAAAAGTAGGGAGTATACAAAACCCACGCGTACGTAAAAGTCTGATCTGTGACAGTGCATAATATCTGTTCGTGCTGTGTGAAGATGTGCCCGCTGTTCTAGAGGTGACGCGGTGGCTAACCGTGAGCGCTGTCGTCATTCGATCGATATGAGTTATACACATGATGTCCCAAAACCGATCTGATTATAGTCGGAGTGAACCCGAGTGTTCGACCAAGATGCCATGTGTTCTGTTACACGCTTTGAGAAAGTCGTGGTCGCTCTGCCACTGTGATGCCTCCAAAAGAGTACATACCAGCACAGACTTAGCTGTGAGATCGTTGATCTTGTTGCACTTCTACTTACACTGATTGGCTGGTGACTGTGTTGTGCCATTGCTGGTTGCCTATTGGTTACGCCCGAAATGAGGCTGCTAGACTACGCAAAAAGAACACAGAGAACCCGAGACACGGCTGTTTTGTCAGGGCAAACGAGTAAATATATGAAATGCTTAAATGGTCGACTACAGTTATTCGCTTGTTCGTTCTCTCCAACCAATGACGACGTTCCTGCCGTGGTCAATCTCACACCCACTCCGCCGGCCGTGTTTGATGAGCCCCACCAACGCATCTGCTATGGGGAACGTGTGGTGCCGATAATGACCTTGGGGATGTATAGGTCTCTGCACATATACCTTTCGTGTCTGGACGCATCCTGATAGGTCAGTGATTCAATAGCACCGCCTGCGTTCACAAGCGTCCTATTTATTTTTCTGTATAGATAGTTCCGAAGTTATATTGCTCCCAAAAGGGATTCGAAGACAATTACGTTGGTAGTAAGGACTAGGTCTTCCCCAAACGCGTCCTTATGGGCACTTTTATGCAGTGTACACGGGGACAATATCCACAGCATAATTCAAGACATGACACATGTCTCCGAATAAGCAAACCTTTATTGCTAGATCAATATGTCCGGTTGGTTTATTTACTTGTACGTAGGTCAAAACTGTGACCATAAAAAGTACAACTGTGGCCCAGTTACAGACAATTTTTCCCATATGGGCAAATATTTTTAGCTATAAGAACGTTTGCCACTTCATGTTTGCCCGCCAAACCTATTCCCTTGGAGTTACATCGGTGTCAATAGCTCGGGTGCAGCCCCACAATCGGTTCAGTAAAAAACTGTCATTGAAGTTAAGTTTCGAATTTCGTTCACGCCCAACTTGAGCCCGTATTTGGATAGACCGCTTCGCACAATCAAGCTTTCTGGAATATGCCTTTTCTGGTTGGTATCTATGCTGACCGAAAGCAGAAGGTGTAATACCAACCAAAAGCGCACAGAATAACATTCTGAGTTCAAGTAGTAATGATGAGACACGACACCTGTACGACTGTCTTTATGCAAATACATCCAGTTATACACCTTGAAAGGAACACAAATCTGGAAGGGATTGACTTACGCAATTAGCTGGAATAGTCCCCGACGTCATCATAGTCATATGAGTAGTCAGGCTTTGGGGAATAAAGGGGGAAAAAAGGTTTTGATTTCAATAAATCTTCATTGGGCATGAAAACAGTGTCCATTCACAAGAGTCCTATTTTGTTTCTCCCACTGAAATATCTGATAGCTCTCGAGCACTACACTCATTTGCAAATCAGCGTGATTTTCACGAGAGACTCCACTGAATCTCTCGTTTATGACATTCTACAGCTGAATGTGCTGCACATAGGTCGCCTCATGTTTCATTTGGCACAATATTCGAGATATCGCAATATGTTTTCTCTCGTGAAGACCAAATTAATTTTCAAATGAGAGTATTTCTCGAAAACAGTCCAATTTGGGTTCAAGTGGAACATAAAGTTGACGGAAACTCGGAGACTGCGCCTACATGATAAGTCCCAAGGGCGAAACCGGTCGTGGGCTATCGAAGAGTTTTCAGCAACCTTGTGAGTAGTTTTTTTATCTGATAGCTGTCTTTTTTACTGTTATCAGTCGAAATGAATCTACGAAAAATATGTTCAGATCCTCCAGGATTTTTCAACCTGTCTGGCATTTTTACCAGGTAGGAGCAGCCGTA